CACAGACAACCTCTCGTCAATATGCGTTTTTTGCATTGCATTGCTGCAAAAAACGCATAAAAATGGATATAAGGATATAGTGATGATTTCCAGTGCTATCGCCCCGCTCTGTACTGTTTGTGTTTACAGCTAAAGGATGAAACACTGGTTGCTCCTCTTATGTCACAATTGATTTTATGAAAAATAGAGCCATCTACAGTTTTACCAGTGGATGCTTGCCTACTATTGGTGTGCTGTCACTACGGCACTCCAAGCCTCTTGGCCTCTTCATAAAATGTGAGGTATGAGGAAGGTTTTGTCTTCTGACTTTAATTTCAATGCGATCCATACAGTGGCAAAACCGAAAATTTCACGAACCTGTACAATGATATGAAGAAAGAGCGCATATGACGAATCAGCCAGTATGGCGATTATTGCTGCTACGACACCAATAATAGCCACGCAGGCGTAAAGCGCGACATTGCCCGAATAAAAGTACAGTATCGCAGATATGGCGCAAAGTCCTACCGCACTCAGTATCGAAAATATCATTAAACCCATCTAAACTATCGGATTCAGATAACAGCCACAAATTTCGATGCATGGAAGTCTGCTCATTTATTATTATGCCATACCTGGAGGTAGCAGATTTTGCCGAAGATACCTGAAAATTCTGGTTTCCCATTGCCACTCCCAGAAGCTTGCATTTCCAGATCGACTGCCATCTGGAGATTAGGGAATCTGAAATTTTCAAAGAAAAAATTTCAAAAAATTTGTTGCTGAGATTTTTCAGCAAAATATGGGACAAACGTAGCTTTATTCGGAAGAAACTGGAAAAACGAATACTTATATACATATATTACATAAGGCACATCACTCAAAATACAACATGCGTTGATGAATAAACCGTCGTGCAACCCGTGTTTCATCCCCTAGCTGTAAACACTGAAAGAAAAGCAAGTGCAGCTAGGAGTAGAAATCATCAGTATAACCTACTGCCTGCTATATTTAAGATACTTTCCAGCTTTCGTAGTTGTACAGTTGAAAATCGCGATGATAGGGTAATACATATATTATTATGCACAGAAAAGTAACGAACGAGTGAACTCATCATAATACATTTCTGTAGAACACCACTGTGCCGAACAGATGAAAAGTGCAAAAGTCGGTACATAAAACACCTTTGCTGAGCTATTGACGTAGCAGCAACGGCTGTTTGTATGATTGCCTGTAACAACGATAAAAAGAACAAAATGATACGTGACAAAGGGGTTGGGCAGGTTGGTGATAAGATCATTCAAAAATAGTAACAACAAATAGAAGCAGCGACATTTAAGAAAAGCTGCGGTTGCTACATCTTCACTGCGGTGGCAAGACAAATTTTGCAGTTTTATCCGTTTTCGAATTGCAAAACTGTACCGAATTTTTGTCTAGGATCGTAGGACCGGCACAAAAAAGAAATGTAATTTAATCTAGGCTTTGAACTTGTGCACGA